GGGGGGGGTGCGACTTTGTTTCTGGAAACAAGAATTCAAATCCTGCTTCTCCTAAACCCTGAGTCACCTCCTTCCCTTCCAATAGATCAGTGTGGTGGGTAAACATTTCCATATATGGAGAGGCAGGCTGGAGGATGTCAGAAAAATCACCCTTCTCTCCTCTGGCACTTGAAGAACATGCCCCACTTAAGACAGAATTCCTTACTCGGAGTAAACGATTAACCCCAAAAGAAGTGGAGTCTCAACTGTGCCATATGCTTCCCTGTTACAGAGAAAAGGCTCCCCGGCCCAAACAAGGAAGTGACTGGTTTGAAAGGATTTAAGTTCAACTTAGGAATGGGGCCATAGAGACTGCAACTACATTTCCAAGTCAATCTATTAATTTGGGGGAGGGGTTTGGGGGATGCTCCTGAAGAGGTCACCAAGAAGCCAATCCAGTTCTTCTGGTGGCAGATGAGTCCTAAAACAATCCCCACCCTCAGACTCTAATCCCCGACTCCCTTGGCCCAAGGGTCCTCTTGGGAACTTAGTTTTGCATGAGTTGTTCATAGGACAGATACCAGGCAGGAAGACCCAGAATAAAACCAGACATTCAGGAGAACATTAGGGGGTTCAGGGGTAGGAGGATGGAATGGCTAATTTAATTTGCAAGATTAATTCTGATCCGAAGGCCCTGTAAAGTGTTCAATGAGTAAACTGGACAAGTGAAGTCAGTCAGGGGTGAATGTGGTCTAAAATGACTCCAGACTGAATTAGAGGAGGAGAAATGAGAGAGAGATGAACAGCTGGGGAAAACAGCAGAGTGGGAAGGAGGGGTCGGCTCAAGAGAAGGGAAGTCATATCTTGGCTTCTCAGTGTTCTATTTCTTAGCATGATCGTGTTCTACTGTTGGCTGTAAAGGCTTCTGTAGGTCTGATGAGCCATTTTTCAGAATCATCACCCACTTCCTGGCTTTTGGGCCTGAACCATGAGGCTGCTGGTTCTCATCCTCAGAGAATCTTCAAGCAATCAACAGCACTGGTCAGGGAGTAAAGGGACCCAAGCCCTAAGCCCAGAAGAGTCACTCCTTAAGATTCTGGACAAATCAGTTCTCCTCCTGTAGCTTATATCCTCTCATCTACAAACTGGGTAGATATCCCCAAATTGTCCAACCATGAGCTCTAAAAGCAGCTTCTACTTGGTCTATCCAAATAGTCATAACACTTATTTTGATTACTTGTTTTATATTTTTGCAAGCATGCCACAAGTACTTGAAAAACAGCAAACAATTCTTATTTACTGTATGTTTAATAAATGAACACAAATGTAAGTGACCATTAAATGAGGTAAGGAAACAGGATCAGAGAACTTCCACCACATGCCAGAACCAGGACTCAGTACAGAATTCTTGTCGCTGCAGTACTCCCAGGAGGTCCCAGAGGTATGTCTGAAGAGGGTAAAGAGATGGTCCTCATTTGTAACTGAGAAGACAAGCCAGCCATCAGACTTGGTGGTTCTGTGGAAAGACTGTCATCCTGTCAGGAGCTCAGAGTCCCTTCCAATATCCCAATAGGAGCATTGCAGCAGAGGAAAGAGATATTCCATGGAAAATAGCTGCCCACGGATGGCCTGAGAAGTCTGAAAAATCAGGACCAAGGAGGGAGCTACAGGAATAGGTACAAAAACCAGAATGAAAGAGTCCATATCTACCCTCATCTTTGCAAATAGCACTTGAAGATCAGTTTCCACATCCTCCAAAGCACCCTTGATTCCTTAACGCAGACGTACCTCTCCTCCTCTTGACCACTGAAAACCATTGGCTCCAGGGTCTCAAGAGGAGAAAAGACCATAAAGGCCACTGAGGCCCAAGGTCCTTCTTGTTTATGAATCCCCCCATGGTATCCCTAGGGTCTCTAGTGATGTGGAGATCATTATCTCTAGCAGCTGTAAATTCCATCTTTCCAACAAAGTTCTTCCTCATCTGGAAATAAAATTTGGCTCCCTGGCCTTCAACCTCCTGCTTCAACCATTCGGACTCTTCGAACCATACAAACAACCTATGTCTGTCTCATTGGTTTGGAATTTTTGTAGGTGAATATGGATACAGAAATGAAGCTATCCAAGATCTCATCCCTTGGTCACTCTGGCCGTTTCCTGACCATACCACATTGCTAACTCCTAATGCATTTGTTGCCAACTTGAAATCCATCCTTTTCGGGTTTTTCCAATAAGTGTTACTGCTAAGCAACCTATTCTGCACATGTACCTCTGGCCTTGTGGATTCACAAGACGTACCCTATAAATCCCAGTCATTGAGAAACGAGGGGAGATAGACCTTTGAGATCAGTTCCCCACCCACCTCTACCCCATCGTCCGTGCCACGTTCTCATCCTTTGTGGACGAAGCTCAGGGATGCAGATCCGATTCCCAGCTCCCCACTCCTGCTCTCTGGTCCTGCCAGCCCTAAAACTGTCTCCAGGATACAAAGCTATTCCCAGGAACATTAAGAGAAAGCTCTGTAGGAAAAGAGGGCCTTGCCAGCACAAGCACTCTCAGAACAACAAAGCGGCCTGCAGGCAGGACAGCAGGGCCAATTTGCTGATCCCAGGACCGGGAGCTCGTGATGCCTGACAACTCCGGCACCATTCTTTACAAAGAGGGAATGTCTTCACAAAAAGAGGGGAAAATGTTCTTTTCTGTCATAATTCTGATGGCACTGTTTGGATTCATGGAACACATAGTACTGATGCCTCACATTAGAAGCACGCTTCACCATTCGGTAAATGCTCTCCCAGACAGTCTCAGTTCATCTCTAGTGGCAATCACCCCTGTAGGTAGTATTATACCCAATTTAATGATAGGAAAACTGAGGCTCAGAGAGGTTAAGTATCTTCCTGAGGTCACCCCAACAGTAAGTAGTAAAAAGAACACTGGTTTAGGAGTTAGACCACTGGAGATTCCAGTTCCAATTCTGCTACACACTAACCATACGACCTCTGGCCAACTGTTTAACTTTTCTAAACGTCAGTTTCTACACCTGAAAATTAGAGATTAAAAGAGCCCCTCTGTCTACCTCTCAGAGCAGTTATGAGGATCAAATGAGATAATGCTAGTGAAAGCCCTCTGGAAAACGGAGAAGGCGTTACAGAAGTGTAAGGGATTATTGTGTGATTACTTGTAAATGACTGTGCATTCCATTACAAATACAAAAAGCAGTGAGGTCATTCTCAAGACAAAGAAACATTAAGGCTCTGGGAATTAAAAGGAAATGATTTGATGTTCTACAGGGTTCTGTCTATATGCTACCCACTCTTGCAGTTGAAGCTTAGCAGCAACTGTCAGATTTTCAACTGCCAAGTCACATACGTCTACAGGACTGCTCAAGACAAACTCGCCCTTTTCAGCTACAAGCAAATGTTGGGCCAAAAGGAGGTAAGAGAGAAGGACGTTTGGAAGACCCCCTGAGATTCTCAGTTCCGGAAACGTGATCTGCAATGTTTTCCTTGGAGAAGTTGTTAGAAACACAGGCTCCAGTCTCTCTGCAATAAGCCCATGGGGAAATAAACGTACAGCAAGGAGCTATTTACCAGAGAGCACGAAGGAAGCTACCAAGCATGAATTAATCAAGGGCACAGGATATTTCACGTTGCGGATATCAAAAAGAATAGAACTCTCCAATCCATTAAGCCTCCAGCCCAGCTCGCAGAGGCTCAACTTGGAATTCTGGGCATCCCAGGCAGCAGAGGCCCATTTACATATCAGAGGTCCTGCAGCAGGTCACCTGGGAGCCAGAGGGCACCCAAAAAGCTCAGAGAGTGCAGTCGCTGGTCTGGCTTCCTTCAGGCCTCTCCAAATACACTGGTCATCAGGATTCTCTTCAATTTCTGCAAAGATCCAAGTCATCGATGTCACTTATGGAGGGGCCGGAGCTTCCCCAGAAATCCATTCCCAAGGCTGATGAGCACACAGCTCAATGATGATTGCTTTCTGGTTTGCATTTTAACATCTACTTCCTTGTGCTTAACATTAAAGAAAGGCACAAAATTAATTTGTTGCAGAGATGTGTGAGCACCTACTAAGAATGTGTGCCTGAATCCCCGGGGATGCTACTGCAAAGGGCTGTGAGAGGCCGACAACTTCAAGGAGCTCACAAGCACCGTAGGAGAGAGAAGCTGATCATAATGCAGGACAAGATGTGGTCAACTCCATGAGTTCACACTTCAGTAGAGTTCCCCTCAATGAGAAGGAGGGACTTCTGGGCTAAGTATTAAAAGAGAGTGGGACGGGGGTGGGGAGGAGAGGGAGCAAAGGACTTTCCAGGAAAAAGAAAACATTCGAGCCCAAGCAAGGAGGAGCTATGTCCAGTGAAGACTAAGCTCAGAAGATGTATGAGCCACTGGTGGCAGAAGTGGGCAGAAGGGTCGAGACAGACAGAGGTAACTCAGAAAGGTAAACTGAAGCCAAATAATTGTTGTAGGCTAAGGTGATTGAATTCTATTTCTAAAAGCAGAGTGTTTTTTTGAGAAGCAAAGCTCTCATCACACCATTGATCAAGTTAAATAAGTATTCTCTTTGGCTCCTCACTGCCAAATAATAACAATAACCACTATAATTTAATCAGTGTTTACTCTGTGCTGAGCATTGTACTAAGCAGGTTGCATACATTATCCCGTTTAATCCCATCAACAACCCTGTGAGCTAGGCAGTCCCACTCCCATATTACAGATGAGGAAATGAAGGCTTAAAGAAAAAGTAAACAGAGGCAAGTCTCGGAGAGAATAACTGGAAGATGCCAGGATTAACTAACACACAATGCCAACTCAGCCTCTTGCAATTCTAGAACGTACTCTCCAATTTCTAACCTTCTTCTTTCCAATTGCCTGGACTCTCCCTGTCCCATTTCTATGAGATGAACTCATCCCCACATAACTAACACATAATAACCATACATAACAAACATAACTATCTCCAAATATAGTTGACAAAATTCCTTTTTTGTTCCTGTGTCCCCTCCCCAGGCCCTTGGAGTCAGGAACCTTGCCTGTGTTCTCAGCACTCTGCACACAGTAGACATTCAATAATTACATGTATTCAATTAAACAATGTCTCTGAAGGTTGGGCCAGGGAGGTACCACAATACTGGCTGTAATTTCCACTCTCTTCTGCACAGAAATGGAACTAATCTCAGCAAAGTTCCCAAGGTCGAAAGGGGAGGCAGAGGCAAGTTGAAAGATACAGGTCAAGGATGGTGTGCACGGGGCAGCCGCAAGGTTCTGCAGCTAGTCAGAAGCTGCATGCCCCTGATCCTGCAGCTGGGGCTCCAAAGGCCTCAGAGGGAGGTGGGCACAATGCACATTTCCTTGAGAAAGGGGAAAAGCTCCAGGATCCCTCACAACTGTGACCTGTGTTAAACCACTCTGTCTCTCAGCCTTCATAAAAGGACGGACTGGGCTACCGCAGTGGTTTTCAAACTTTTTCTCCCCTTTAAACAAAATGCTTTGCAGAAGCTCAGCTTGTAAAGTAGGTAACAGCAGAGCTGCTCAGGCTGAACTCAAGTTCCCGCCCCCTCCTATTCTTCTCACCACTTGTCACCTCCCCCACCCAGCACCACAACCCCAAGGCCACTCCTGGAGTCTCCCAGGCTCAGGGGAGCACAGCTTGAAAACCATCAGCCTTCTAAGCTCTCCACAGTACCTTCCAGCTCTGATTCGAGTAACCTCCGAGGTATGAGATGTACCTTCTTAATGAGCAGCTCTGCATTTTCACCAGCAAGACAGGCAATATGTGCTGCAGCGGGGAAGAAAGCTCTCAAAGGAGAAAACTCGGATTATAATCTATTTAGGACCTGAGTTCTCACAAGCAAGCTATTTAAATCATGCTAAGCCTCAGTTTTCTCAGCTGTAAAATGAGAAATAATATTGTTATCTACCTAATAAGTTTTTATAAAACTTAACTAATTTAGGGCTGGCCCGGTGACATAGTGGTTAAGCTCGCGCGCTCCGCTTCGGCGGCCCGGGTTTCGCGGGTTCAGATCCTGGACACGGGCCTATGCACCGCTCATCAAGCCACGCTGTGGCAGCGTCCCATATACAAAATAGAGGAAGACTGGCACAGATGTTAGCTCAGGGCCACTCTTCCTCAAGCAAAAAGAGGAAGATTTACAACAGATGTTAGCTCAGGGCTGATCTTCCTCACCAAAAAAATGAAACAACTAATTTAATATGCATAAGCTGCTTTGTAGAATGCCCACAATAAATACTGTGTTATGATTGCTGCATCTTTATCTAAGTCCACAGACAGAGAAGTAGGTAGCACTGTATCCAGGGCAAAGAAGATGCTCAATAAGTGATAGGGGCCCATTTCTTTCCTTCCTTGCTCTCATGGACATTTCCAACCTGAACAAATAATACGACAGCAATAAAAAGCTAGAGGGAGGAACACATTTTGTGTCCCAAATTCCCAACAGCTCATCTTTGAAAAATCTTAACAGCTTGTCTCTGGAATCTTTGAAACTCATGGCCATTTGAGGCTTCCAAGGACGTCAACCTAGACAGTCAAGGGCGGAGAAGGTGAGTTTGACAAACGCAGTGACGCAGGTCAGTGGCACAGGAGGAAGTGTTAGACTTGGTGTCCCAGCCCCCCGCTTCCACACCCACCAGCTGAGTGGTCTGAGAAATCCTATCTGCTCTCTGGGCCTCAATTTCCTTTTCTGTAAAACAAGGATGAGAACAATCCACCTTCTACCTCCCAATAATGTTGAGTAGAACCAAGGAATTAATGGGTGCGAAAACTCTTGAAAACTTCACCGCTCTATACTTGTATAAAATATCATCATGTTTATTATAACCTCAAGTAAAAGTTGAACCACTGCAAAAAATAACTTAGAATGTGACCAAAACTTGGGAATTGCCCTGTCTTGAGGCCTCTGCTCCAATTGCCAGATTCCTTGTCTCTCACCTGAGCTTTGCGACAGGTTCCCTGCACATCCCTGCCAGGTTAACCCTCATTTCATCGTGGCTTTCCTAGTTTCTAGTTGACCCGTCACCAGTGCTCTGAACTGGACAAAAATACTGTCCAGCTGCCCTCAGGCCAGCACTCAGGGCCTCCAGGATGGGCCTCAACCCATCTTTCCAGCCGCATTTCCCATCACATTGCTACATGAACCCCTGGCTCCAGGCAAGAGCGTACCCCCAATTCCTTACAACTCCAAAATTTGGCCATGCTTCCTCCCAAGTGCTGTGCCTCCAAATCTGAATGCAAAATCTCTTTACTGTGCAGTGGGGAAGCGGACCCCTTAGGAGGCTTCTGTGATTGGGGTGTGGTCAACAGTGCCTTCACTGCCCCATCCTTTCTCTAAAGATGGTCCCAACAATTACTGGTCCATAAACAGCCACATCATGATAAGAAGAAATTTCTGTATTTCTTTGTAGTTGGTACATCTTTTGACATGCCCCGCCTTTTTAAATGCATAATGTCAGATATGACTATGACACCCATTTTACAAATGAAGACCGTGAGGGTCCGTAATACAGTAAGTAGCTGAGCCAGCAGCCAAGGGCAGGCTTTTGGCTCCGGAGCCTGTGCACACTACACTCTCTCCTCCAGCAGCAGACTGTAGTTGAAATCCATCTATAAAAGGTGCTGGCCTTGCGGCTAGCTCACTGTGTGACCCTGGCCAAATCACTTTCTTTCTCTGAGCCATAAAACGGGGGCTCTGGGGTCATCCCACACATCTACACACCCCTTTCTCTCTCCTCCTGAAGATTTCAGAAATGAAATCTTAGAGAGGAATGAACAAGGTAATGCCTTACATATGAATTTGGTCAGTTCCACCCGAGCTTTGCTGAAAAAAGGAAGGACTGACCCAAACATCAAAAAGCTACCACGACTCTATGGGACGGCACAGGGAATGCCGTGTGGCAGCATCCCCACGCAGACCAGCAAGCCGCTCCCCAAGAAGAACTGTAGTCGTGGTCACAGCGCATGAACCTTGTCAGCAAATTGCTACTTTGACTGGCAATTTTTAATCAGCTCAAAATGCAAGAGCATTAATGCAGACTGCACAGCATGCGCCTTACATACCTCATGGCCTATGGGCTCCACGAGAGATGGCAATGGAAGAATCCCTCTCTCCTTCAAGATTCTTAAGACACCGGCTTCTCTCTTTAGTGTAGGCAACTACTACCTACCACACACTTTCACTTGGCTGTGGAGATAGTTTCTGTACGGCAGGCTGCCGCCCCCTCTTCAAGTATTCTCCTAAAGTCCAAATGCTGATTACCAGGCTCTGCTAGGACCACAGGATCCTAGATATGGCAAAACTCAGGTATCAACCAGTCCAACTCCTGTAAATGACTTGCCTGGGGCATTCATTCATTCAAAAAGCATCACTGATGTCTACTTGATGCACAGCGATAAGATGAGGCTAGGTTTCTGCTCCCAAGGATGCTGCACCAATATCTTAAGTGGCTTCCCAATGGCAACAGAATAAGTCCAAGTGCTTTATCTAATATCTCAAGTTTCTCAATAACCTGGACTCAACCTTCCAATCCCACCATCAATTCCCTCCCACTGCCACTCAGCACACATTCTTTGCTTTAGTCAGACTGAACTCTTAGTTCACATTATTCCCTTTGCTTGACCTACTTCCTCTCCCACCCCAAGATCAAATATAGATATCCTACACATCCTTCAAGGCCTACTGGTAGTTCTCAACAGGAATGAGATTGCTCTTTAAAGAAAGGCAGTTCTTTCCACAGTGTCTCATATATGACAGGACACCTAGCATCTCTGGCCCTGGCCACTAAACGACAATGGCAGTCTGGTCTCCAGCATTGAGACAACCAAAAACACTCCACCACATCTGCAAATGCCCCTTAAAGAG